AAGGCTTTTCTCAAAATTGAAGAACTAATTGTTCTTAATAGAAGTTCTCCCTTATAAAATTATATTCGATTTGAAATGTTTTATAGGTTTGTAATCAATTATGAATGCTTGCTGATCTTCGAATCAACACTATTTTAATAGCAATTTTAATGGTTCAAAAATCTGCTTCAACAAATTCTACTGGTTTATACTGAATCTATTCGTCTCCTTATGACCAGCAAATCCAATTTTTATTTTTCAATTTTCATCCGAACTGATGGGTGTAGTGTATAATATTGCACTCTCATAATTTATGGACTCAATAAATAGTTATTAGAATCTAAAACCATTCTTATAAAATACTGTTGATCAATCATTCATAGAGATACAGAAAAAATTATAATCACCACCTTGAAATATAGGTGAATTAAAATATTTATAAGCATTAAAATTGAATACATTTAAAATAAATACTTTTTATCTTAGAAATATTTCGCTTTGGAGGAAAGTAGAGCTAATAGAACTAGAATTTAATTGAAATCCTCTATTACAAAAAAGTTAATCCGATTTTTCCTCAATAATCTCGATATATTCTGAGTTTGCATGCATTAAAAGATGATTCCCTAGAAACTTCAATAAATTTAGCTTAAGTAATATATATTGCTGGATTCCTCAACATTGAGAATTGCTATTGTTACTTCAAATTCATTTTGTTTTTGAAATCTGAAATCATTAAAATAAGAAAATTTCTAATTCTTCACTCAAGACTTGAAGATTCTGATTCCATTATTGCGTCCTTTATGGTCTCCCAAATTCTCATTTATCCTCCGTTGCTCAGCCCTTTTATATTTCCATTATATTAGTATTAGCACATTCTACGTGGCAAAGCATTTATCAAATTCTATATATATCTCTTCAATCCTTCCTCCAATTATAAAAGAACATACTAATAAGTTGCCTTTATTTTTAAATTACAATAAGTAACAACTATTTCAAATAAAATATTAGGCGCTGGTAGCAGAATTCTTCTCTACCGTATTCTTCATTATCTGAGAACTCAATATTCCTTCCCTAAAGGGTTCACTCTCCCATCAATCAGGATTCGACTATCAAATAAGAGAGTCATTTTTCATAAGAATCTAATTATACAATTGAATTCTTGTAGGTTTCCTTCTCTTTTGTTTTCTTTATAATATGGTTAGTCAAAGCCATTCATACAGGAAAGCTTTAAGGTAATTTAATTTGAATAAATAGTTTAATTTCTTTAAAAAATGCCACAGATATACTTTTTGTTTTTAACACTTAAAAGTTTGTTGATAGAAAACAGTAATTGTGGTAAACAATAGTAGGCGATGATTATTTTAAATATCAAAGGATTTTGAGCAATTTATTTAAGCTAAATATTAACCAATAATAATGTATATTCTTGAAAGACTTGCTAATAGAAGTTAACTAATCCATGTGAGACCTTATATATTATCAATCAAAGGAGTTATTTTTGCAGGATTCCATTTGCTTTTCAACAATCCTTATATTGGATTAAGCTATTAACATTGCTCTCTAATTCACTGGCAGAATTGATATTTATCATTTATTAAAAGATTGGTGTTAAATTTAGCATTAAAGAAATCTCCAAAACTTTGGAGGATGCTAACGGTAAACATATTATCTTATAAAATTTTAATCTCATCAATCTTACAATCATCATTAACTGGCTTTGGACATACCTTCCAATTTCTAGGCTCTTTTTAGAGAGCCCACTCCACCGTGGGTCAGCGTTTTATAGTTCACAAAATTGACAAGTTTAATTTACCTCCATCTAAGTACCATCAAAATGCTTAATTTCTTAAGTCTACTAGTTTTATTCAATCATTCTGCATCTCAATGTTCTAAACTAAAAACTTAGAATTTGACCTAATAGAATCATCACATAATAAGATTTAATATTTTTGATCAAATTAATTTATATAATAAAATATTTAAACCCATTAATAAGAGCTTAAATATTTTGAATGATTGAGTCCTACAAATAATTTCTTCCTAATTATTGGCTCATTCAATATTTATTCCAAGGAATAATAATAATTCCCCTTTCATCGATGACTTAATCCAATGACACATTATCTCTCACAGCCTTGTATGGTTCCTTTTTAGAATATTTATGATAATAAATTAAAAATCTGTGAAATTTTAGAAGTGTGAATAGAAAAACTTGACATTTATTTACTTCAATTTATTTAAAACACCATTTGTGTTGATTTACTAATTTAAATCGATTTCATTTAATAGGCTCAAAAGTTAAAATTAATTATTAAATATGTTTTTAAATTACAAATATTCGAATATTATTTTCTCATATGCACCAGCTCATAAATATACCTAGTACAATAATGTTCCGTATTTGATACGTAGTTCTATTATGAGTTATGAAATTGTAATTCCTTTTTTGTTTGCTGTACAATTATTTTCAAGAATATTGTGACTAATTATGATTTAGAATTATTGCTATTGTAATCTTTATTAATGTATTTGATAAAAGTGAGTATTGAAGCCTACATAATATTTATCTAAGGCAATTGAATTAACATTCAAATAAAAAAATTTATAAATTAATTCTTTAATTCTGTTTTTAGTAGAGAAATCCTTATAGATTTAGATTTCAACTTATAAACTAGCCTCATTTTAAAAAGCCAGACTCTAAAATAGTAATCCCTTCTATTAAAGAAAGTCAGGAAAATAGACTTTTTAAACTAGTTGAACTTAATTACAATTCACAGTTTCCGCTTAGAGAAACCCTTTAAATGATCATCGTGTTAACAATACCGATAATCTCCTTATCTTTTTTGTACTTATAAGCAATCATTGTGTATCCATAAATCCTGTATCGAACCAAAATTAACAACTCAAGTGAATTTTCAGTCTAAAAGATTTTGAATTCATAGAATTCAATCATTATTTCATCCAATTCACAAAATTTTATCAACTTTTATAATCTATCCAGATTATAATCTAACAAGGCATTTCATTTCTATAGGACTTTTCTATTAGAGAAATAGCAAACTGTCATAACCTGATTTTGTTAAGATTTTTGGAAAA